GAAGGAAGAAACATGACATTCCCAAACTGATGCTGGAAATAGAACAGAATAACAGAGTTGGAAGGGAACTTGGAGGTCATCTAGTCCAATCTCTTGCATGAGCAGGAGACCTCATACTATTTCAGACACGTAGCTGTCCAGTCTCTTCTTGAAAGCCTCCAGTAATGGGGCACCCACAACTTCTGAAGGCAAGCCATTCCACTGGTTTATTGTTCTCATTGTTAGGAAATTTCTCCTTAACTCTATATTGCTTCTTTCCTTGATTAATTTCCATCCAAATCCAGACATCAGCTACATCCCCTACGTTAAAAATTCTTTCTAGCCAACCCATGTGAACCTGGGGCTGGTAAACGGTGTTACCCTATGACTTATCTGGTTTCCATATTCCATATAGAGAAGCTACAAATAAATTTTATATTTTTAAGCCCAAGATGCCATTTTAAGCAGACAATTCTGAATGACCGACAACTAACAATTATTTTTGTATTCCTTCAGTGAAAAAGGAAAAAGACTATTGAGACAATCTTTTTTTTTTTACAAAAACCTTGCATTTAAATTGCATTTAAATTGTCACTATTTGTAGTGACAGTGTAACAATACAGCACTTAAACGTTTGTAAACTATTAAACAGTCTGCATTAGATAAATCTGGTGATAGAACAGAGATAATTTTCCTTGTCATAAAAATGGGGGGCAAGGTTGCCATCTAGTGATGAAAAAAGTAATTGCTTGAATAAATTACATACGGTACATGTAGTTGTGGAGTATATTCCAAAACTTGTTGGAGTTATTAATAATTGTGTAACTCTCATTGTTTTGCTTAATGACCATTCAAAGTAATGATGGACCCCCAAAATCTATTTATGATCCACTTTCGTAGTTATGACAGCCCCTCCCCCCTCCACATACACAGTATACTCATCAGCAGTGGAATCCTACCTGTTCTACTACCGGTTCGCTGATCACGTGTGTGTGCACACCTAACACATGCATGCAGCTTTCCCCACACCAGCTGAGACCTGCAGCGCCAATCAGCTAAGTGGGTAAAGAACAAAAAAACGCAGGGGCGGGTGGGATGGCCAATCCTGCGCTTTTCTCTTCTTTATCCTCTCAGCTGATTGTCAGAGGCTTTTCTTCAGGGGTGGGATTCTACCAGTTCACACCTATTCGCTAGAACCGGTTGTTAACATTCTAAGCAGTTCGGAGAACCGGTTGTTAGAAGAAATTACTGGCCTAATCCTGTAAGGAAGGCAGGAAGGAAACATTCTGGTGTTGCTTACAGAAACTGCCTCTCCATTAACCCTTATTACAGTCTTGGCAGGACTAGACTTCCTGTCTCAGGAACATCTCTGGATTTTTTTCCCCTCCTTTGCTGGTTTGTGTGGAGTGACCATTCAAAGTTACAATGGCACTGAAAAAAGTGATTTATGACCATTTTTCACACTTACAACTGTTGCAGCATCCTCACAGTCATGAGAGGCCAGGTGAGGAGATGCGTGCCTCAATGTGAGTGATATTGAGTTGGCCACGCCCAGCCAATAACATGACCACCAAGCCATGTCCACCCAGTCATATGACCACCAAGCCACGCCCACCAATTAAGCCACACCCACAGAACCGTGGTTTTAAAAAATTGAATCCCACCCCTGCTTTTCTTCCTCCTCTCAGCTGATCCTCAGAGGTTTTTTTTACTATTAGTTTGGCTGAACCGGTAGCATACCACCACTGATACTCACATAATTGCATTTTGGGCACTTGGCAACCAGCTCACCTTTATGGGTGTTTGCAATGTCCTGTGGCAATTTTTGATGGGTTTGTTTTGTTTTGTTTCATTTTGTTTTGTTTTGTTTTGCTGGTTTCTAGCATTTACTTCTGGTTCCTGGCAAAATGGGTTGACATTCACTTAATGACCACCATAAAAATGGCAAAATCAGGTCTGGTCACATGGTGACCCATTCAACAACTGCAATTACATGACTGTCATTCTGGGCTTATTAAGGAGAGTGTTTAATGTGTGCTACCTGTACATTAAGTACAGTACACAGGCAATTATGGACTGAACCAGAAAACCAAATATATGAAGAAATCTGAGCAGGTTTTAAGGGCGAAATATAGTCAGAAACTGAGTAGAATAGCTTGTGTCAGAAATTGTAGGTGTTTCATCACTGGACGTTGTTAAGAAGAGACTGGACAGTCACTTTTCTGAAAAGTCACTTTTCTGAAAAGTCACTTTTCTTTCCTAAGAGGTCTGTAGGGGGCGTGCATAAGCGCACCAACGTGCCTACCGTCCCTGTCCTATTGTTTCTCTTATTCTTTTATTTTTCTTATATGTACCCATTTCATGTATTCACAACTATGTATACACTTATACTTATTATCTTGTAAACAATTGGCAAATCAAATAAATAAATAAATAAAATAAATAAATAAATGGAATAGAGCCATGATGGCAAACCTATAGCACACGTTGTTGTTGGTTTTTTTGCCTACTCATGAACATTCTGGATCTCTGTTTAGGTAAGAAAATATCTCTGAAAAACAGACAATATCCTTTTTGACAGTCTGCAAGATCCAATTCTCCTACCTTAATTTGAATACACACATCTTATCGATATCTATGCTTAAATTACCCATTGTCCATTAAGCAGTTTATCTCTGGACTAACCAATTATACCAAGAGTTCCAATTATCGTAAAATGTTGAAGCCTCTTTGTTTTTAAGTGCTATAGTTAATTTATCCATTTCTGCACAATCACATATTTTCTGAATGACCATCTGTTTGTTCTTTTTTTGTTTTTTTCCTTTTGTGTATGTAATGTCGATATGTTTTTAATTGTAAATTTAATAAAATTTATTTAAAAAAAAAAAAAAAAAGAAAATATCTCTGAAACGATGACCCAGCTCCTCAACTGCAATCTTATCACCTCTGAATTAGCTATGGCTTGTAGCATGACAAAATTGCGCTGAACAGTCTGGCTGCAATATGATGCCTTAAAGCTGTCCCATCGTTCTATGAAGGACAATAGGAGAAAAGTGTTGTACTTCTGCTTGCTTGTGTGCGCATACACATGCATTTTATAAATTGGATTTGATTGCTTATAAAGCAAACATAATTGTGCACACATATATACTCACACACAACCCAGTTTGATATAGTGGTTAAGACATGAGCCTAGAAATTGGGAGATTGTGAGTCCTACCTTAGCACAAAGCTAGATGTCTGACCTTGGACCAGTCACTTTCTCTTAGCTCTGGGAAGGAGACAAGGGCAGAATACTTCTGAAAAAGTTTGCCAAGAAATCTGCAGGGGCTTCTCCGGGAAGTTTCTGAGAATCAAACATGATTGGACGAAAATATATGTGCAAGCAGATACACAGCAGAGAGAGCTAGGACCAGACTAAATTTAATTTGATTCACTGTCTGTTCTGCTCTTAGTTGGAATTGCATAACAAAAGTTCTGCTAATGTGAATCTATATAGAGGATGTCTTGGAATTCAATTGCAACCTTTCCATCGTGTATTTCTTTAAACTTCTCACAACTGAAAGCAAATATACATGTCCAGGATAATGTTGTAGGATCCAATCTGGGTTGGTCACCGAGACCAGAGGTGTAGTCTTCTGAGCTTTCAGATTCATGCTGGAGCCCATCTTTAGGTTCTTGGTGTGCTTTGGGCTGTTCTGTGTGTGATGTTTATATGATGCCTGGTTGTGTGTGGCATTTTAGTTGTTGAGAAGTTTTAAAAGTTGTTGAGAGTCTTTCCCGTAGAGTATCCCAAAGCAATTCAAATTTTAAGAGAATAGTTAAAACTGTTAAAGCAAAACCATTCAGCAACAGGAGAAAGAAAAGAGATTTTGTAAAAAGAAAAAAAGGAAACCTAACATATTATTCACTCAAAGGCGGCTTGGGTGAAAATTCAGGTTTTCACATGTCCATGGAGATTCTCAGTCATCCAGGGCACGATTGTCCCAAAGGTGCTTTTTTCAAGAGGCAACTGGACTTTCTGTTTTTTTCTTTGAAGACATTTAACTTCTTATCCAAGAAGTTTCTTCAGCTCTGACTGAATGGTGGGGAATGGAAGAATTATACTCCTTGCAGACAGCTGGTCATTTGAATTTTTTTTTTTTTTTTTTTAAGAGAGTGGTTGAGGCCATCTGGAGATTTATCTGTGTCCTCAGGGTTACCTGAGTAGTGCAAATGGGTGTGGCGCCTTCTTGGAACTGTTGAAATGACTGTGTTGTAGTCGGAAGAAAGATGGTGTCCTGTCTCTTACCCTCTGTTGAGAGAGGGCTGTTCAGTTTTGACATAGATGGCCTCTTTGACTCCTCTCTGTCCAAAATGTGGACTTCTGCTGTCTTCAAAAGAGCGGCCATTGCCTTTTAAATGTAGGTGGGCTGCTGAATCTTGTCCCGATGGGTTTGTTCTTCTATGTTGTGCCATGTGGGCTTACAGCCAGTGAGTAACTAACCCCCATGTAACATCTACCATACTATTCTGTCTACTATTGACCTCACCCCTTTCCTAGGAAGGCCTGTAGGGGGCGTGCATAAGTGCACCAACGTGCCTACCATCCCTGTCCTATTATTTCTTTTTATTTTTCTTATATGTATCCATTCCATTCATAACTATGTTTATTCTTATACCTATTATCTTGTAAGCGATTGACAAATCAAATTAAATTAAAAAATTAAATTAAATTTTAAAAAACCCGGCGGCCTAAAGATCCACAGCTTCCGAAAGCGCAATTCTGGTCCTTGCTCGCTAGGGGGAGCCCTGACTCCGTCCGCGGAAAACCAGGTGCCCGAAGGAGCCGCTTCAAAGCCGCGATTGCAAGGCTGCGAGAGCGGGAGCGGCGCCGGTCTACTGCCGGCTGTGCCACGGCCCCCGGCCCGAGAGAAGGCGCGCGGCTGACATGAGCCAGGCAGCCGCCGAAGGGGGAGCCGCAGCCTCCCGAGGCCGCCCCTCACCGCCCGCCTCCTCCTCCTCCGCCGCCTTCCCCGCAATCGACGGCTGGGCGGCGGAGCTGATCGCAGATGTCGCCGAGGACGGAGAGCCGCGGCGGAAGGCGGCAGCGGAGGAGAGGGAGGCCGGCAGGGCTCGCCCGCTCGCTTACTGTCTTCCCCCTGAGACCGGGAAGGAGGTACGGTGGGAGGCTGCTGGGGTGGCCGAGTAGAGCGAAGCATTGCAAGGGGAAGGTCCCTCTGGGCATCCTTAGGGGTTTGTGTACCTCGGGGCCCCGCTTGGGGAGGGAAGGAGATGCTTGGGCTGGGTCCCCACGACCCACCGAATCCCAGGTTAGCCTACCGCGTTTTAGTTGAGCGTGTTGTCCGAACTTAGCCCCTCTGCCTAATTCCGTGGATTGTGTAAAATCCACGACACTGAATTCTTTGACATAGATGAACTGAGTTCCTTGACTAGCACGGGTTAATGCGTCGTATGGACGCAGCTTAGAGCCAGGAACTGAGAACCAGCCACCGAGGATGTGGAATACTGAGGCAATCTGCAGACCGGCCGGTTGAAAGGCATCCTTGAGATCCCTCTCACTCTTGTGGGTTTGCCTCATTATGAACGTGCCTTCTGCTTTTTCTTTACCTCTGGAAGCAGTTACTCTACAGTGCATACAACATCCCTATATAAAAATATAAATGATCCAATACTTTTAAAAAAAAAATAACATTGATTAACTGTAGGGTGAGAACATTACATGTTGGTCTTCCTCAATTTTTCACTAGTGTTTTGATCCACCACATCCTTGGGAATCATTGAACTGGAAGTTTGCATGCTGCTTTTCTTAAGCTATCTCCAATCTTTCCAGGTCAGTCATCCTGTAGATTCATATTAAGTATCATAAGTTTCTCTTCTGTTTCCACTACAGTTCAATATTTAAATAAAATGGAACAAGTCACCAAGGGCAAAGGTCCCATCAGTATTGTGAGGCCACTGCTTGGCCTGTACATATTTAATTGGGAAATGTAATTTTAAGATGGAATTGACTTATACCCTGGAGGTTGCAAGATTAGGTTATATCTATATTCCACTTAATGTTCAAATTCAGTTTAAAATATTGATATTAGTATCTAAAGAGTTAAATTATTGAACATCATTTGCATCTGTGGGCTCATTGGGCTGTGAGCAACAAACAGGCACAAGGAATAGGGCATTTTTCCATGTTGTAACTTTCTTATAGAGTTCACATTCTGCCCAGTTTTAGATAAGACATTTAAAACTTTTTTCTCAAATTGTTTTCAAAGGCTGTTTACTTTGTTATGCTAAATTTATTTTTAATTGGCTGACTTTCTGAATAACTGAGCTGTGAATATTGTACTATTAGCATCCAAAAGTATTTTCAGTTGACTGAATTTTTGGATAATGCGAATTGCAAACATTTGCATTGTTAGCACCTAGTTTTATACATTTAAAAATATTGGAAGAGGGCCATGTAAGAGAATAGTGGATTTAAAAACTTAATACCCAAAGTAATGAACAGGCCGATAAATAAAATACTGCACTTGAATTATATTTCTAACCTCACACGCACAAATAGGAATGTCTTCAAGCATTTCAGCATAGTTAAGGTTTTTCAGGGCACATAGTTTTATTGTAGTATATTGGAAGTGATCTCTTTTGAACAAAGCACAACTTTTTTATGTTGGTGTCTTAGTATCAGTGTTGAATGCCTGGAGAACTCCATGCAATTTTCTTGGCAACCTTTTTGGAAATGAATTGACATTTCCTTTCTTTCTAGGGCTGAGAGAGAGTGACTGGCTCAAGGTCACCCAGCTGGCTTTGTGCCTAAAGTGGTATTAGAGTCCACCATCTCCTGGTTTCTAGCCTGGTGCCTTAACCACTACACCAAACTGGCTATATTAAGCTTACTGTTGAGTGAATCCAGAAATATTTTGTAAACATTGCAAAGAGACAAACATCAAAAGGAGAGCAACTTTCAAAGATCTCTCATCGAGAGGGTTGAATAAATTAAGATTTGCATGAATCATAAACACAATGCTGAAATTTGATTATTGAGAATAATTTGGTAAATCATTCTTTGTATATGTGCATAGAACAAATATAAGCGAATATATGTGAATTTTCCAGTTTTAAACTTTGTAACGTAATTTTGTAATTTGCTACAATTGGCAAATCTTATAAACAGAGATTTGAAAAGTTTCTTGAAATCTGGGAGTAAGATAGATAGATAGATAGATAGATAAATAGATAGATAGATAGACATAGATAGTTACACACATACACACACACACAAAGCCGATGAACTCTGGTGCACAGCTGGAAGAACTGAAAAAGCAGGTTAGGCCACAGAGAAAATCTGTGTGGTCACTAACAGTTGACACCAACTTGGTGGCAAATAATCCAAGTCAAATATATATAAGATTTAATTGATGAGATTGAATTGCATTTTTAAAGGTCTTTATGTAGTGTTTAAAGCAATAGTGTTAATAAAAAGAAACGTGTGAGAAAAAATAATAGACACACGTGATTAATGAAATGAAAGCAGTACTTTTGCCATACATTAAAGAGTTGTTGTATGTCTCTATGCATAATATATACGAAGGTTATCCAAAACAAATGATGTAAGGAAGAAGAGAGAGAATTTATACTATTCAACGTTTAATACCTGAATTCTGTTGATATTTTAAAGTATAGTTTTCTCCTCTATTTCCAAGTGTCGTCTGGGCAAATAAATCCTTGCTCTCCAACTGTCTAATTCCAACAGGCTAAATTACTATGAAATGTAGGTTGAGCTAAATGAGTGATGGCAGAATCATTTGTTTATGAAGAATGTGAGTTCAAATCCTGCAGTACTGAAAGCCAGCTGAGTGACTTTGGGCCAATCAATTCTCACTCAGCTCAACCCACCTCACAGGGTTGTTGTTGTGGGGGAAATGGGAGGAGAGGGTATTAGGTATGTTCACCACCCTGAGTTATTTATAAAACAATAAAGGTGGGATAAAAAGAATCTAATATATTAATTTTAAGTGGTAAAATAGGTGCCTTATGTGCAGGAACCTCACCTTAAAAAAAATCAAAACTGTCAATTTGCCTCACCTGGTGGTGGCCTCATCCATTTTGGGAAGTGTGATGGTTGTTATGCTTCACAAAGCCCAATCCAGTCCTTGGAATTGCATGCTGCTAGTTAAATAAAAATATTCTTCAGTCTGACACTACAATAATAGATGTGAACAGTTTGACTTGGGGTAGGAAGGCTGAACTGAACAGAGCAACTGAATGAAGTTATTCTACACTTCGTCTCAGTCTACTTTTTGTCCCTGTGACTTGGTTTGCAGAGCAGACTTATTATTTGTTACTTCATAAATAATAATTTTCCCAGAATAAATTCAGTGAACTTCAACTGACATCTCATGAAGAGACTTATTCAGATGTTTAAATGTGTGTGTGTGTGTGTGTGTAGAGTCAAGAAATTATCTCCCTCAAGACTGTTAAGAGCAAGATAAATACCTGAATTAGAGTGTCAGTTTTCTCCTACTTTGTTTTTATAATATCATCAATACTGTTTTATGTGCTCAGATTAGCCCAAGGGAAGAAAATGTCAGGTTTGGTTTTGCTAATCCTTCAAAGTCCATGCTATCTACTGCTGCATGATGACTAATACTCTTAACTTTTATCATGTTTGTTTATGATTGTGGAATAATGGCTACTAAACTTCCATGCCTCCATTAATAAAAACGATCTAGCATAATTGCTTTTGAACATGTCTGTTAGTACTCATCATTCCCCATTCAAAGCAAAATACAAGATGTCATAAGCTTAACTACCTTAGATTGGTTTAGATGTTCTATAATTAACTACATGAACTTGGCCACATTTATGCTGAAGTAAACCATCTTTAAATAGGATTCTTCCCTAGTAATTGGGTTAAATGAACATGTTTGTGAGGCTACTTTTAAATACAAATTTATATGAGTAGATTTATTGAGCTTGTTTCCTGGGAATGACTTGTTGGTTATTCAAGATTGGGTCACTTCTCACTTTCCCTTCTAATCTACAATCTAGGGCAGTGATGTCAAACTCATGGCATCATGTTGTTGTCACATGACATATCACGACTTTTCCCCCCCTTTGCTAAAGCAGGAGTAGACGTGGCCATCATGTGACGCATCCAGCTAGTGGCCCGTGAGTTTGACACCTTTGATCTAGGGAATTTCTGGTAGTTTTCAATCAAGGCTAACCAGATCCATTACTGCTTGACCAAGTGAAAGAAAAGTGAACATTTAAAGCTTTAGGCACAAGTTTATTTCCTGTTTATTTTACGGATGATGGATGAACCCAAAATGAATATTTCAATTAGGGATGCAAAATAATTTTGCTGTGGGTTACACTGAATTTGTGGGTTCTGGAGAATCTGTGTGTTCTGCTTCTGCCAGACTTCATAATACCAGTGTTTGTTTTTCAGCAAAACTAAGCAGAAAACTTGTATATGAAAAGAACCTGTATATTTTATGGAAAGTAGTATACAAATAATAGTAAGCAGTCAAAAATTACACTGAAGAAATGTGTATAGAAGAAGCCGGCACTGGAAAATTGTCTGTTAAACAATAAAAAGAAGATAAATTATCAAAAATACGTAAATTGTCCAAAATTAATTAGTACTTAAATCAGAGAAATAATATTGTTAGATTTTTTCTGGATTTTTTGTGGACCTTTCCAGTGGAGTTCTGCCATATTAACATGAATAGCAAAGTAAATGGAATTTTTAGTGATTTCCTTAATTAGAACATTGAACATTGAACATAAAACATAGAATCATATAGCTAGAAGGACCTCAGAGGTCTTATAGTCCAACCCCCTACTCAAGGCAGGAGACCTTATATTATCCCACTCATATGATTGTCCAGTCTGTTTTTGAAAACCTCCAGTGATGGATGTGGTTCAGTAATATCTGAATTAGAATGATAATCTCCTGAAGGAGTATGTTCTTAATTCCTTCTTGAAAAAAAACAACCTGTGGGTTTTTTTTCTCCCAAGTTTATTATCAATGTAACAAACTGTATCAATAAATACAATCAGTAAAACTGCAAATTTAATACATTTGTGCCTGCTACAATAACTCTTTAATCTGAATTCATGTCACACTGGGGACAAAGAGAACAAGTGATACCATTACAGTTTTGAATTCAAATTTGCAACTGACCAAATTACATAATATGGATCATTTGCTTGAGAGTGTCATTAACAATGAGCAATATTTTCTGCCTTTAGTTTTTCTTGTTTGGTGTAAATTAGTATCTCACAGTGGCATGGCAATAATAATTTTCATTTTAACAGAAGAAAGTGATAATTGAAATCCCATGGAGTCAAAAAAGAAATCTGGCTTAGGAACACTTACGATAATTCATAACATTTATGAACATATTTTAGAGCGATCTTATCTATCAGAAAGGCATTGCCAAATATTATAGCACTATATTGAGCTACCTGGAAACATAATTTTATTTCTGGTTAGGAAAACACTGCAGAATTTAAGGGTCTTCCCCGAAGAAGTAGTCTTTCAATCTGTTTTCTCCAACACTGCCATTCAGAAGGCCTACTGCTTCAGAGATTAGTAGAGATAATGCCCAAGTATGTTTATGAAGTATATTCTGTAAATTTAGCCCACTGTCTATATGAAATCTCAATGGGAATATCAATTTAAATGTTTTTTTCAAGTAAACAAAATGAATTATTGAAAATACTCTGCTCACAATCTTTATGCATGTCTTTGTGTTTTGAAGCAGTACAGAAATATCAAAAGACAATTCTTGACTAATAATAGATGTTGAACTATATCATAGATGTTCTCAATCCTTCATAGGCTCAATTCTAAAAGGAGTTTATTTAAATGTCACAGACTTTTGCAAGGCTGTTATTGACAAGAGCGTAAGGTGTATATTTATGCCATTTGTTACCATGTTCATTTTCTAATATGCATTAGAAGCACAATATAATAGCTTGGTGATTGCAGGGCTACCCACAGGCAATGGGTGTGGGTGAACAATTGTCATATGTAAAGTTTTCCTAAACATCCTGCCTGCTTGTGGAAAGGCCACCAGAGGAAATAAAGAGAATATGATGGAATGTTTATGCAAGGCCTATTCCTTGAAATATTAGAAAAGAACAATTTCTTTTAGGTCTGTGACCTAAAACGTTAAATATAACTCTGATATTAGGGATTATTTAAGGTTTTTAAAGGTGGTGTTGAACTTTACAGAAATTCATGAGTATGTGTGTGTGTGTGTATGTGTGTGTGTAAAAATGGATATGTACTGAAATACAGAAGTAGGCAAAAAGAGTATTTAATTTTGGACTTATAACTTTTAATAGAGTAGAAATGTAGTGATAAAGGTAGTCCTTACCTTACTTAGCAACTGTTTGAAGTTATGAAGGAACAAAAAAAACTGAATGGTACCAAGTTGCAGAAGATCATCATAAGATATTAGATTATATTACAGCAGAATTCTCACCAAAAGAAAATATTGCTGTTCATTTCCAAATTTCTGCTGGGCCAAAAGAAAGAAGAAGGTTGAAATTGGCAGCAGTTAGCTTTTTCTGTCACTTTCTTTTCAAAAACACAAGTAATTGGAAACTTATGTGATTTTCTGCAGATTATGTTACATGTTTCTTTGAAATGACATTATGAGAGAAAGGACAATTGTTAAACATTTAACTATATATTTATTTCAGATTCACTCAAAGACTTCTATTGAAATTCCAATAATCATTGTAAATTGGGAGACTTGTTTAAAACAGATTCTTATACGTGAGTTCCATCACCTTAAATGGGTTTTCACCAACAAAATGCTTTCTGCAAGGAGAGTGGGTTGCTATGATATTGGAAAGGATCCAAACAAGAAAATTTTGCATGCTTGTCATTCGAGAGAAAATGTGGAGAATCAAGTTTGTCAAGCATGGCATTTAAAAAAAAAAACATTCTGTATGTAAATTATGTGTCTGGTTCACATAATTTAACCTGAAATAGAAAAACTGTGTTCAGCTGTCAGATTTTTTTTTTTAAAAAAAAATAAGTCATTCAACGTTGGGATACACAGGATGTTCTCGCTTTGCAGGGGCTGTAATTTTAAATTATCTCTTTATTTTCAGATGAAAGAAATAGAAGAATGTATAGAAGAGATGTTAATAAGGCTGGATGAGTTCTGTGGTATGACTGATATGGTATGTTTACCTCCTGAAGACCTTGAAGAATCTAAATACTTCCTCTTATGTTATCTCCTTTGGAGGCCATCTTGAGAGTGATTTAGAAACAGCAGCTCAGCTGCAGTGAGCTGTGTGGGAAGAGGGAGCTACAGGACTTTTTCTCTTCTCTCTCTCACACTCCAGCAAGCACGCACACACACATACACATGCTCACATTCTTCCTGAGGCAGCCATCTTGATAACAACCTTCTCTGAAATGGTTTTTATTACTGAGAACAGTGATGGTTAAGCCACAAGGTGGCACCATGGTGCACAAATACTTACGGGCCTAGACAAGTGCTCTTTACTTGTAAATTTTATGTGCACCATTCTTACCTACATGCATAGACACAATAAGGAGCTCTGCTCACAGATTTCTCCTTGAGGATGCTTGAATACTGTATGAAAGATTCCCCATGTTAGTTCTAGAGAGAAATTTGTGCACCCTACCCAAAATTTCCCCTCTGTGTTTCAGTGGAGAAAATAACTTAATGCCAGGAAGTTGGTAGCTGTCCAAAGGTCACCTTGGAAAGTCGCTGTGGACTTTTTACTTTAGGGCCAAAAGACAAATTCCCAAGAGGCCCACTAATTTTGTGTCATGAAAATTGACTACAGTACTTTGCAACTAGTGATTTTAAATGAAGGTATTGATACAGTCCTGATCATATCAACCGTGCAAATACAGCATAACTTCACCTGGTGGTTTTCTGCAGTGCGTTGCATTATAATGATTTGTGGGGCCCTTTTTAATCATTGCACTCTAACTCATGATAAGTAGTTTGACACACATCAGCTTAGTTTAGAAAACGATGCTTAAAAGGCTTTCCAAAGAGCATTATATATTTATCAGGTATGTAGTGCATTCTCAAAGGATAACTTGCCTTTCCTAAGTATACATAAATTGTTTTCATAGGTATTCAGATTCTGCCGTTTCAGATTTCTCTCCTCCAGTTGTAACCAACAAAACATTTAAGGTTACTTTCCTGGGAATTATCTCATATCGATTTCAAGGACATGTTTCTGCATAGATAATGGTAGAATTAGTCTGTTAGTGTCTTGCCTTGTAACTTTGTTGTAATTGTTTTCTTTGCTGTCTCTTGAATCCAAGGAACAGGCAATTATTTTTATTGGGTTTTATTGGGTTTTAAAAAAAATTACAGTCTTCAGTTCACTATACTGTAATACATTACAATAATAATGGTTAAACAGAACAAGAGCATGAAATACAGCAAAACAAAAAAGAATTAAAAGCTTAGAACTCAAAAGTAATATGATTTCCTGATGAGTCTTCTCTTCATGGACAATGTCTTTGAGACTTTGCTCATATTATGTTTTTTGAATAAGATACATTTTGTTCTGATGAGAGTTTTTTGACTAGTTAACAATCCAAAATCACTCAGATTTCCCAGAACACTTTTATCTAGTCTTTATCTAGAAAAAGAGGACTGACTAGCTTAATTTGATCCTCATTAATTGGGAGACTTAGAAGAAGTAGAGCCAGTGAGAGCTTTGAAGAAGGTAACAAAAAATGCTGATGGATGGAACATGAAAGAAGCAGGGGTTAATAAATCCAAAACAAAAGTATAATTCAATGGCAGGAGAAGCTCATGGGGAAACTCCCCCAAAATGTAAAGTTATAAACATAATTTCAAACAATTCCAATGGTGGAAGAAAGTAGAAGGTATCAGAAGAAGCCACTGAGTCTACAATATAGAAAAAATTGCAACATAACAAAAATGATTTAATATGTTATTACATTATTATAGTTGTTACTTTATCCTGCCTTTTTAATTTTTTGGTAAATTCAAGGAAGAATACATAGCTACTACATCTGCCTCTTATTCTCCCCACACCAACTCTTCCTTGTGGTAATTTACTTTTTATTATTTATTACATTTCTACACCACCCATTTCACCGAAGTGATTCTGAGTGGTTTGCAGAGGAATTACAGAAGAATTGAGTTTGGAAACTGTTTATTGGCTGCTACATTTTCTTTTGCATAGATCTAAGGAAAGGTTGCAATTTTCCACAAGGAACAATAGCCAGTCCACACATTGTATGTGGTTTAAACTTTAATGTGGCACCAAGGGGATTTCCACCTATGTGGGGTTTTTTTTTTTTTAAAGGATTCTATTTCAGCAAAGATGTGCATAAAAAGAAAAGTATTTGCTACACATTTCTTTCCTTACAAAGTGCATAAAGATTTCTCTAAGAGAGGGAAAACTAAGCATAATTGATAGTTAATGTGGAATGAAAATTTCCAGGAAAGGCCAGGGCTGTAGGCTGGATTGAGACATTGATTTAGCATTCTGAAAGAAGACAGTGGCAAACTATTTCCCTATTGTTGACCAAAACCCAATATTGTTAATGAAGTCACTAGAAATTGGGCTTTATCTGAAAGATGCTGTACCTTTTATGCTAAGACAATGTAGACTGTAGATTGGAAGGACAGCAGTTCTTGATCTTTAGCTTCAGAATCTTTCACATTTTTGTTACCTGCATTTGTGTTTATCTTATTTAGCATGTTTACAACAATAAACTTTTTCTATTGATTCTCCTGTACCCAAATACTAATTATATTTGTCTGTAGCATTATATTGCTCAACTGGCAATGCTGTAGGTATCCTAACTCTGCCTATTGCTGGATTTAATGCAAGTCTGGAAATGCAAAACAATAAATAATGGGTACAACTCTTCCAACTACTCACTCCCAAACAGAGAATAGAGCAACCTGGAAAAGAGAATGGAGCTAACCTGTGTTGTCCTGAAAAATAAAGAAAAAATAAAAATCCAATAGAAGCATTGCTTCTGAATATCCTTTTTGTTTCAATCTGTTTTTTTAAGCTTTCTTCAACTACAATAACAATATAGCAGAGTGTAGAGGAAGAACACAGAAAGGAATCTAGCACAGGAGATGTAGCCATAATCCTGGAGCCAGACCCACCCCAGTTCTGCTCCAGTTTTACAGTTGGAGGATGCATTGTCAGCTAATTAGTGATAGGCAGAAGAGGGTGGACAGTAAAGCCAGAACAGATATCAAAGAATTGTTTTTCTCATAATATGCTGCACACAAAGACTCAGAACAGCACCATTGGCAATGAATCAGCAGATGTAATGAAAGCATGCTAAGAATCAGCTATGGGCGGAGAAATGTATATATTCTTGCAACCTTAAGGTAAAATATGAAACATTCTGTGGCTTACATAGTATGGAGACCTAAGTAGCTGATAAGGGAACAAGCTGTCAGTGTAGCGTAATTGAGGATAGCTACAGAACATATAATTCTTAGGAAGAAATCTACTGGTGTGTTCATCTATACTGAATTTTCTAAAGGAAAATGTTTGGTACCATATAATACATAAAATGATGTTGTATTTTTACAGTATACTAAATATGTTTTTGTATTTATTGACAATGCTTTCTGCTACTGTCTTCCCCACCATGCAGATTAGGAGTGATACATCCAATCTCCTGGAAGAGATGATCCCACTTATTAAGGCCAAGGTTTCAGAAATGAACAATGTCTACACAAAAGTGGATAAACTAGAGGTTTGTTGCTTACGTTATATAAGGTTGGACCAGAAATCTATGCTTTCAAGTAGATTCAGTTCTGTTGAAGTATTTAAAAAGATTCTTACCATTAAGAATTATCATACTGTTATCAGAAACCAGGTGAAAAAATTTAATTTAAATTTTAATTAAATTTTAATTTAATTAAATTTTAATTTAATTTTAATTAGAATTCACTAATTCAATAATAATAATTAATGATAATAATAATAATAATAATAATAATAATAATAATAATAATAATAATAATAATAATAATAATAATAATAATAATAATAAT